GTGTGTGTGTGTGTGTGTGTGTGTGTGTGTGTGTGTGTTGGGGGTGATGAAATCACAGCTGGTGAGGAGCAGAGAGAGTGAACCTCTGCAGAGTTGGAACCTGATCTAATCATCGTGGTACTAAGATAGCAGTTAATTGACAGTTCTCTAAAACAGACCCAGCTAGTAAATGGACATTTTCTGCAGTAAACGTTATCTAGTTATGAATTAAGAACTTGATGGGATTAAAGAAAAATGAGCTAATATCTTGGGAGAGAATACCCTAATTTTTTTCACACTAAATTTCCAGATATCTGTGCTGTTCTAACAGATGGCCTCATTTGTGCATGGTTCCCTGGCAGGAGGAGTAATTATTTTTATTATCTTCATTGCATGTCAACCCTGGGCTAGGCACCAGGCTAGATATTTCAGACTTTATATTATGGGACCTCTGTTATTTAGCTTCTTGCTACACTAATCCCTTGAAATAGTCAGAGCCAGTTTCATTTCTTTCAAATTTGAGGGATATATATATCCCTCAAAATATCAGTGATATCACCTTAACTAGGCAATAAAAAAGATGAACCTCCATAGATGTGATTTAGTTAAAGATTTGAAATAGGAAAACCCTCCAAGATGGAGGTGGGGTGGAGGGTAGGTGTGCATGGAGGGAGGGGAGGAGGGAGAGAAGGAAAGAAACCACTTGAGGTAGAAGGAGAGTGGGGTGACCTGGCAGGAGCCAGCAGAGGGTGTTCAAGGCAGAAGATATTCTCTCTGGAGCCCCTGGAGGGAGTACAGCTCTGCCAAGCAGTACTGATTCAGATCGCAGGCTCCAAACCTGCAAAAACAAATTCCTATTGCCTCAACCTTTCAGATTTACATGGGACTTTGCCACCATGGCCTTAAGAAACCAGTATAATGACAGACACAGGACAAGGACAGTTCAGACACAACATAAAATGGCAATCCATAAAAGAAACAAGATGATAGACAATTTAAAATTTTCTGCTCTTAAAGCAATACTATTAGAAGAAACAAACTTCACGAGGAAAAAAAATGCAGGCCATGTATCTGAAGAAGGGCTGGCTTGTAGATCATTACAAATTCTTAGGTGGGGCACAGTGGCACTCAGGGCTAAGATGGGGTGATGTGAGTTTGAGGCCAGCTCAGATAACAGTGTAACCCCAACTAAAACAATTATAAATAAAAATATACACATTCTCAAGACTCCACAGTAAGAAAACAATCAACCCAATTTTAAAAAGAAGGATAGTTAAAAACAAAAACAAAACAAAAAACCCAAAAACCCTGAATGGATACTTCTCCAAAGATAACAAGCAATTAAAAGATACTCCCTGTTTGTTACTAGGGAGCCCACACACCCATTTACAAGTCTAGCCACAGAAGCAGACAAAGATGCAAAGAAACTAGCTCCCACATGCTGTTGTTGGGAACATGAGATGGTAATAGGCAATCTGCAAAGTACTGGATTCATTTCTTAAAATGTTAAACACAAATTCAGTATATTTTGTGGTCAGCCCACCCCTACGTATTTACACAAGAAAATGGAAAGCACTCATGGGCACAAAGTTTTATACACAAATACTCTCAGCAGCTTTATTTGGAATAACCTAGGCCAGAAATAACCCAAATGCCCATCGGGCTGTGAAGAGACAACAAGCTTTGATTCAGCCAGACAATGGGATGCTTCCAGGCAGTGAGGAGGAATAAAAGTACTTTCTCTGAAGGGCCCTTCATGACACTAGAACAGCAGGACACGAGAAGCCAAAGACAGAAGAGAGAGAAAGGCTTGTTCTTGAGAAGGCATGCCCCCAAGAGAAAGCTGCTGCAGGAATGTGTGGGGTGTAGGCAGCACTCATAAGTTAACACAGCCTGACACTTGGCACCCCTTATGGTGGCATCAGTCAAGGGCAGGCACTTAGGAGCCACAGCCACACTTTGGTCCCTGTTTGCTGAAAGAGTGAAGCACACAGGCCGAGGAAGACACACATTGTTTAAACCTTTCCTTTGTTCACAAAGTCTTCCACAATGACAGACTTTTCTCAACAAATACCTTCCCCCAAAACACCCAGACTCAGCTCATGCCTCCCTTGGGTGGGAATGGAGGGGCTCTCATATCTTCTTGTCCAGGGAGGGCTTGACAGAACTACCCCATGAGCAGGCAGGAAAGGCAGCAAGGCCAGGAACTGTGCAGGGTCCCTGGAGACTGTGGCTAGTATGTGACCAGGAAGGGTACAAGAAACCAGAGACTTGGGGCGGGGAAGGTGAGTCTCAGCTGGGTGGGAGGAAGACCCAGGGGGTCAAGGTGGGGGAAATAGAGGTCCCACTCCCAGGCCAGTGTTCTTCACATACGGGAGGTCCCACCCCCCCAGGTCCAGGGTTCTGCACAGGAGCATGTGCTCCAGCAAGTAGCTCTCTCAGATGCTGGCCACAAAATCCAGTTCATAAAATGAAGATTTCCAGGTATTTGGGACTCTGGTGAGTGCTTCTGGATCAGGCCCTTCATCTCCCCAGCAAAGAAACAACAAAGAATCCCCTCATGGGAGGGGGATTGACAGGAATGATATGAGCAGGGACTTCAGCAATGACTGGGGTAGGGGTAGAAGACATTTTCCAGCTCAGAAGGGTGGCAAGCCCAGAGCAAGGCCAGCCCCAGAAGAGACACAGTCAAGGCTACTTCAGGTAGAAACAGTGCTGTGGCTGTCCTAGGTGCACAGTGCTAGGCTGGCCAGTACCCAGTGCAGCCTGCAGGATGTGGCTCCATCTAAACATTTCTTAGAAGGAGCCAGTGGAGGTTGTGAAGTGCAACTGCCAGGCTCGGGCCTGATGCAGAATCGTTGACCAGTGAGGCTCCTATACTGCAGACACAGAGGCTGGCCTGACAGAGCACCACTCCAGAAGCGGTCTGGCTTTAACAGAACAAAAGCAAACACTGTACTTACCGTGGCTAACTCGTCAAACTTGCCAAAAAGTTCGTTGAGCAGTTTCACCAGCTCCTGGGCCGTGCACTGGGATGCCAGACCCGTGAAACCCACAATGTCTGCAAACAGGATGCTGCAAGAGGAAGGGGATCCAGGTCACCTCTTCTTGGGCACTCAAGAAATCATGACCTAAGAGTTGCATAGCCTTTTCCATTTATACCCTCACTTACTGCTCAAAGCTGATGGAGACACTTCCCCTTTCTCTCACAGGCAAGAAGACCTAGGCTGCAAGACACACCTCTTGGTCTCGGGGATTAGCTAGCTATTGGGCCACTTAGGGTTGCCATCCCCCATGCTGCATCCTGCTAGCTTCCCAGTATCCCTGCTCCCTTCCCAGGGAGTTCACATGGGCATCTACACTGGAGCCAGGAGCAGAAGTAGAGTGGCCAGCTTTTAAGAAAGAAATGCCTCCCACCAACCTTCTTCTTCCCCTTCTGCTACCTGGCTGCATGTACCCATCAGAGTGTCAGCACCAAAACTCTAAACCACTATGTAGAACAGTGACTTTCAACCCAAATCTCCACCCTTTGGGGGGTGTCGAATGACCCTTTCACAGGGGTCACCTAAGACCATCAGAAAACACAGATATTTACATTATGATTCATAACAGTTATGAAGTAGCAAAGAAAATAATTTTATGGTTGAGGTCAACACACAGGAGGAACTGTATTAAAGGGTCTCAGCATTAGAAAGGTTGAGAACCACTGGTGTAGAAAGTCCACAGTCCCATATGATGTCTTCCAAGTACTATATGTCTATTGCAGAACTAGGGTCAGCCTCTAGAACATGGTGCCTGCTCAATCTTCTACAGAAGACAAGACTCTAAAAGGTATCTCCTATTGTTCTCTCTTTCAAAACTAAAACATATCCTGCAAAAATCTGGGAGGTGAAAATCATATAGTGTTTCTCTTTAAACATTTTTTAGCTTTAAGGTCTGTCTTAAAATATGCTGCTTTGGGCTGGAGAGATGGCTCAGATGTTAAGAGCACTACTAGTTGCTCATCCAGAGGTCCTGAGTTCAATTCCCAGCACCCACATGGCAGCTCACAACCATCTGTAATGAGATCCGGTGCTCTCTTCTAGCCTGCAGACAGACATGCAGGTAGAACACTTTGTATATAATAAATAAATCTTTAAAAAAATTATGCTGCTCAAACATTCAGAGCTTTCCCGTAATTTCAGGATTTCCAGATGCTAGATGCCCCCCTCCCTCCTGTGTGGGAGCTACAAGTATCAGATAAAAAGAAATGAGCCTCTCGTGAACAACAGATGGTGTCCCCAAAGCCAGGCTGGGCAGCAAAGAGGGCAGCAGGGGTTAGCGCTGGATTCTGGCAGAACTGCCCTGCCCCACTCCACTAGCCACAGTGAGGAGACAACCAGTCCTTCCTTGTGCCTATTTCTCATCTGTGACGTGGAAATGAGAGCTCCCTTCACACAAGCACACACAATCATTTTTATTTTATTCTTTGTTTTTAACTTTTTTCATACAGTATATTTTAATCACATTCTTTCCCCTCTCCAAGCTCCTCCCCCCACCCAACCACCTAACATTCATGTTCCTTCTCGCTCTTAAAAAAGAAAAAACAAAATACACAAACTAAAACCAAACCAAGATTTTTTAAAAATGCAAGCACACACAGACATAGATATTTATACACACACACACACACACACACACACACACACACACACACACACACACACACAAAATGGAGTCCATCTACTTCTAAGAATGAGTCTGGACACTCCACTGAAGAAAACTGATTTTCCCTCTCCCAGCATCTTTTAGACTTTGTGTCCATTCCCCCTGCCCCTGCTGGGATTTTGTCTGGCTTGAACCTGTGCAGGTGTTGCTGTGGTGTCATAGTCTCTCTGAGTTCAAAGAAGCATCAGTCCTGTTGTGCCTAGAAAATTATTGTTTCCTCGTGGTCATCCGTTCACAATCACTTGAAGTGCTAATTTATTTACTTGCAGGTTGCTCGCTGAGGACTAGCTATGCTGGACAGGTGCTCAGGATGGACCATAGACAGGAGATTCCAGCCAACATCTCTGCCCGAAGGATTCTCTCTGGCCAAGGGAAAGGGACATTTGAAGTATGCCAAGGCATGTCATTTAACTGTGGTGAAAACAGATGGGTGAGGAGCCTGTACTGCCAGCTGTGACTGGACTAGCTTTGCCTGCCAAGAAGGCAGGGTGGCAAGGAGACACCAAGGGACCCAGGCTCCGGTGGAGAGGCCCGTGCTGCTGCTCCCGTGTCCTGCAGGACACAGAATGCTTACCTTCTTACTTCAGCCTTTGATGTACCTTCCTGCTGACTTCTGGCTCTCACCCTGTCCATAAACCAGGCATTTTCTCACTCAAGATCACTTCTAGATGGTCCTTTCTCTCCTGTTGCTTTCCGATTCTGCCCGCATCTCTGGCTGTCATCACTTTGACTAGAATATGCCTTGGTGTGGGTCTCTGAGTTTACCCACTTTGAAACACATGGTACTTCTTGGATATATAGATTAATATGGTGGGGTTTTGTTATTGTTTTAAGGAATAGTTTTGGTCACTGTTTCTTCCTGTCTTCTCCTTCTCTTGTCTAGGGCATCTCATCATGTGTGTGCAGATAAACTTGGTGTACCTCACAGAGTTCTAAATGCTTCCCATTTCTCCATTTCCCCCACCCTTCTGCAGCCTGGAGACACTCATGGCACTGCCCCTAAACTCACTTAGTCTTATGCTGTCTGCTCAAGTCAGCCACTGAAGCCCCCTAAAAATGTTTCACTTCACTTGTATGTCTTAAATTTAGAAGTTCTGTTTGATTTGGTTATTTTTAAAAAGTCTACTCTGCTGGTATTCTCTGTTTGGTGAGAAAACATCACCATGGTTTCCTTTAATTACACAGACACAGTTTGTTCTTTGAACACATTTAAAATCGCTGACTTTAAATGTTTGTCTAAGAATCCCAATGTCTAGGCTTCCTTGGGGACGGTTTCTGCTGACTGCTTGTTTTGCCCATGTAAGAGCCATACATACTTTTTGCAGCATATTCAGTATATTTCTGTTGAGAGCACAAGACAGCAACTCTAGAAATCAGTCACCCCCATCCCCATCTGAGGGCTCTGGTTACGACTGTCTGGTTTTGACGCTATGTGGTGATCTGTGAGCTAATTCTGCTTAGGCTTCATCTTCTGAAATTCCCACAGCTGTGCCTAGACCTTTACAAAGCACCCCATGTTCATTCAGTGCCCGGTTTTCCCTTTCATTCTTTCCAATCACCTTGCTGCTGGCCTCCATTGTCACCACTGCCGGAAGCAGCTGCAATGCTGAAGGTGCAATGCTAAAGGATTGATCACCTTGGAGTGTTTAACAGAGGTGCTGAGCGGCTGCAGCTCACACGAGGTTGAGTCAGGGTTGATGGAGAAGACCAATGAGAGGGCTTCCTAGGGAATTCCTGGGCTGTCAAACCCTGCTGATGGTGACAGCAGAGCTTTGAAGGGGGCACATTCTCAGCTTCCAGGGGCGGTGGAGCTAAGGAGGAAGAGCAGGGGCCAGGTGCAGAAGCCACAGAGACCTAGTCTTGATACCTAGCTGTTTCTCTTGAGGACACACTCCTGGGTAGATTGCAGTTGTTTGGTGAATCACCAAGCTGGATCTAATTCCAGTTATTCCTGCTATGAATCATTGCCGAAAACAATGTCATAGAACTTAGCCCATTTTTCTTTCTAGGATTTTATACATTTCAGGTTATAATCAATTTTAATTGATTCTGTATGTGGTATAAATAAGGGTCCAATTTCATTGTTCCATGTGTGGATTTTCAGTTTTTCTAGCACTATCTATTGAAGACAACCCTTTCCTTATTCCACTTCTGTCAGTCTTGGGGATGCATTGGGTATGTGCAGGTAGGTTCAAATCTGGGCTCCTTATTCTATTCCATCCTATCTCAGTTTCTGCTTTCATGCCATACTGTTTCAATCATGACAGCTTTGCAATATAATTTGTAGTCAAGAAGTATATGGCGTTAGATCAGAAAAATATAGTATGATTTACTCCTCTCAAATTAGTTAGGACTTTTTGATGGCCTTATGTGATCTGGGCTAGGTAAAGAGCCACAGGCACTTGAGAAGAATATATATTCTACTGTTGAGTGGTACTGTCTGTTTTGTCTACTAGCGTTACATCTACAGTGTTATCACAGTTCTCCTCTCTCTCTCTCTCTCTCTCTCTCTCTCTCTG